CTTATACCTATAATTCCATATCCTCCTGTACCCCTAAATCCAAATTTAATCTCAACCCTGATCCAATCTATTAGCCTAGACCTGAAACACACTTGATCTTTCTATTGATTCCAGGATCAATATTCATCAATGTGGATATTGAGATTCTCCCAATTTTTTTTCTGAGAACACAAAGCACCTTGCACAACTACCAGAACTGTAAAAAGCAGCTAAAGACATATACACACAGTATATATCCGTAAGCATGAGTATGTGTGTCTGTGTGTGTAGGGGGTGTGGGAGAGTGCAAAGGCCTACAAATTGCCTACAAACTATGACACATCCACTAATACTCTGCATGGCAGTGATTTCTCAACAGCCGATTGCTGGAAATGAAAGAGAACAAGTAAAGTAATACTGGCAGTTGTTTACACTGCTTGGAAATAACACTGCCTCCCACCACTCAATAATGCCTGTCTGGGAAAATTAGTCACAGAACATCAAAGAAGTCGTGGTTAAAAAAGAGGGGGGAAAATCACCTCTTCTTGAAGATGAAGATCTGGCTCAGGTCACATGAAACAGCCCCAGGCCTGGGCTTATGCAAAACATTTAAAATGATATAGGCAAAATATTGGCAAAAATATCAGGTGTTGTGTGCAATGCATTTTCTAAGAGATTCTGTCACTTCTACCACTGTTATTATTGCTCCCAGTGAAGAGTGCTATTGATCCCTGAACTCAGACATCGTGTAGTTTCTTAATGAAACCCATTTGATTAACTAGAAGCTGGATGCAGGGAGTTAAATGCACTTGGGCTTCAGCAACCTAAATATAACCAGAGAGTGCCAATAAGAAAAAGGCTTTGTCACTCCCTCCCCCACTGGAGGCTCTGAGGTCTATTAAGTTGGACTACAACTGCCTGGGGACCAGCAGGGGGAGAAGTGGAGCTCCCCTTCTCTGTGCCACAGAATTACTGGAGATGGGTGGTTCTGGGGTTTGTAAGTAAACTACACATACAACGAAAACCAAATCCAAACGATGCCAAATGTAACAATACTATAATCAAACATTAACTCCATATATATATGTAAAGAGTACTGAAGCAGAATGTTAATGTCATGTGATTTTGTTCACTTATTTCATTGGTTGATATGATAATAAGTAAAGACTTGATGTGTCAGTAAATTTAGATCATTTTTTATTTTTCTGCTTTAGGCTTAGGTTGAGGATTGAAGAGTCAGTTCCTGCTGGGCCTGGTGTCTTCTAGTCTCTGTTTTAGCCAAGCTCTCAATTACACAGTCTAATTGTTTAATTAAATTATTACCTAAGGAGGCTTTGATATAGGTAGGGTTACCACTCGGACCCATAATTCAGAGACAGGGCAAGATTTTAAAGCTGTCTTGAAACTGAACAAAGTATAAAACCAAATGCTAAAATGATATTGCTACTTAATGAATGCTTGGGTCTAGATAATCGTTTATAAAATAAAATGTATCTGGAGTAATTATTTTCCTTTTTCAAGTATATTTTGCACCAACTGCAATTCTAAGGAGTTCCTCCGTGAAGGGAACAGTGCATACAGGATCACCGGACTGTGCAGCTATGGACAAAAGTATGAAGGCATGTAATGGCAGCTTTTTAAAGACGAATGGATACAAATAACAGGTAGATGGGCCCTGTATGGTAATTAAATATAATTCGTATTTAATTTAGTAAAGATTTAGAGCTCCCTAGCAGCTCTGTTTATAGGTAATGGCACCTTTAAGTCAATGTTTTGAATGATCAATTCTAGTAGAATTGTGTTGAAAAAAAGGCACATATATAAATAATAAATATATTATTTGAGCTCATTGTTAAATTGACTGCTCAGGTAAGAACAAAAACTGGAAGGCACCAGGTCCTCCCGGAGCTGAACATATGTGCCAAATGGCAAAATGGTTCCAGAAGTAAACCTTTTTTTTCCCCACAGTAACTCTCTGTGCTCGTTGCCCTGTCTGAGCTCTGTATTGCAGAAGATCTGCAGCTTCAGTTTGAATGCATCAGTACGGGGAGAGACAACTTAGGCTCTGACCTTCCAGACCATTAGAGGACTTTGAATTTTCCAGTTTATTAATTACTTAATTAATTCTTAATTGCTTAATTGACTCAGATACTCATAATCACTTTGATAATGAAAGATCATCTGGGACCGCGTCAAGGCTGTTCACCTCTTTCAGTGGCATGAAAAATATCACTCCTTATTGTTGCAAAGAAGAGGCTTCAGTGTGGTCAGTATTTTCTCACTATCCCATCTGTAAATAAATCTGGGTTATTAAGGGCTAGGAGACTGTATTATGTTTGAAAGTCTGAATTTATTCTCCACATTACTGGCAACGTCAATACCTCTCATGTGATGTGACTTCTGATTTAAGAGGCAATCATTCAAGGTGAATGTAACAAGGATCTCACAGCATGTTTCGAGTTACCTTTTAACTCATTGCACAGACAATCACACACTGGCAAAAATGTCACATCCTTTGTTATAAAAATCAAAACACATTTGTGTTAAACCAGTAAAAAATTTTGCATTAGCAAATTCTAGGGGATGTTATGTATGGATTTTTATCTTGGAACGCTGTTGTTACTAATTGAACATAAGCAGCATTGGGAAACGTGTTGCAGATTTTTGGAGTGTGCAGACGGCCAATCATAACTGAGGTCTACATACAGTAAGCAGACATGGAGAATGTGTTTCCCTGTAATCAAATAACAAAAGTTATTAATACACATATGCTTTGTATGGCTAATGTATTAAAAGACTATTTCACTCAGGTCGTGACTCAAGTAATTGGCAATGTGCTTCAGGTTGTGCAAAGACAGAACTGTGTGTTAATCAACATTAGCACAGAAAATACATATATTTGACCAGTACTAGAAGCACATAAATGTCTTGATGTTGTTTCAACGGTCACAAAGGAAACAAATGACATTCTCCAACTCTCAAGATGGGAGTCATACATCAGTGACTGGCAAATTGTTAATACAGCACCCATTTATAGAAAGAGTGACAAAATCAGATTGTTGCCCAAATTACACTGTATGAAGCAACCTAGGATACTGTGTTCAGTTCTGGACACACATCATGGGCTCCATCAGGAAACCTAAGCTGGGAGAGACTTGAAGAGCTGCTCAGGATGACAAGAAGGGATACTGTCCCGTTTAGGGACAGTCACACATATGCTGGTATTATACAATTAAATACTGATTAACAGCTTATTTTATTGAGAATTTAGTGGAAAAATAAAAACAACAAACACATGAAACATGAAGAATGAACATAAACGTGTTATATAATCAGTGGATTGAACAAAAAGACTCCAGATACAAATTGTGTTAGTTTCTGTAATTGTATACAAATTGCTATTGTGCAAAACTCCTGCTAAAACAGACCTGTTATCAATTTCCATTAAGTCCTTGACAGCACCACATACTGTGCTGTGGAGGTATTATTATTCATGTGTAAATACTTGAATTGAACATGACAGATGCTGCATTTTGTCAAAGATCATTATACAATGTGATTCCAGCTTATCAAGTACTGAGACCTCGTTTGTTCAGATTACTAAAGCATATAAGCACTCAAATGTGAAGTATAAACCAAGATATTCTTCCTGACAAGACAATTATGTTAAAAACACAACAAATGTTTCTGGTTCCAAGACTCATTTATTGTGTTCTGACTTCATCTCTGTGTATACTGTATATAGTAATAGATTTATGCATTTCTCTCAATGCATCTTATTTAAACACATGCTATCTCAGGGTGAAGACACCTAGTCTATACGATCTAAAGAAGATGTCATCACAATCACAAACCCCCAAGTCTCTGGCAAGCAGGTACACGACCGTCTGACTAATACTTCTCACACTGACAGAACAGGCTGTGCAGAATTAGCATGGGAAAAAGGAGCACCAGCAACCAGTAACTCATAATGCATTGACTTTCAGAGACTTGCATGAACTCCATACTGTTCCACAATGTTCAAGGATAAAAGACTCGCTCATCGTATACCAGGGGTGAACAACACCTGTCATACAAATAATTATTTGTTTAATTGGACAATCCGATGCCTTTCCTTGTTCTTGAGAAGGGGGAGATTCAAAAACCACCGATTGGGCACTTCTACCATGTACTGCACACAGAGGAATCTTTCTGTGGAGCGGTTGTGAAGAGGTGGTGTCTTTTATTTCAAGTCTTCCCAAGAACTTAAGAGCTCCTCTGGTACATGGTTTAATAGATCTCTGTCAGCGGCTAAAGATCACGTTATATATATAGCCTATAAATAGTTCAATCAAGGAACTGAGGGGTTGAATAAAAAACAGTTCCTAAAGATCTCCTGTTTTTGTACAGCCCGTTTCTTCACACGCAAAATAAACGCTATGCTTAACTGGGTTTGTAACGCATGTTACCCGATACCCGTTTACTTCTTGACCATCTAACGATTTTCCAACGCAGTGTTAGTCAAACACCCCTGAGTCAAATTCGTAAGCGGGAGTTTGAATAGAAGGGGAAAAAGTTTTAGCAGCCAAGCAGCCCATTTTAGAATAAGCATATCATCTAGCATCCTTCTCCCTTCAATCTACATCAGCTGCCGTTCCACGCGTGACCAAATTGCCTCCGTGAAAGGCTTTTGACATTGAGTACCCCCGCCATTGAGATCCGGGGAGGCTTCATTGTTGCATCCCAACATTTATCCTTTGACCTTTTATGTATTGGAACTGAAATCGACCGAGGGTGGTTATTTGTTATATGTGGGCAGCTGTTTTATTTTCGTTCTTGAACGCAATAAATGCAAAACGGAAAACTGTTAAAAGACAGAACATCTGTTATGAACAGTTAATAATAATTGTATTATTACATATACGTGCTTTTCAACCCGAGATGAGTCCTGCCTTTTCACAATTTGGCACTCAGGAGAAAGGTGAACTGAACACTTCGGCTTGAAGTGTGTGTAGGATGAACCTCTGGCATAATCTACTTACATTTTCTTGCTGTTGCGTCTCCGTTTGTGCTTTCTCTGGACAACCAACCCCAGGAAAGGTTCTTCAGTCGGGTCCGCAGCACATCATCTCCACAGGAGGAAGACGAAGAAGAAACCCACACAATGTCTACAAGCAGACACACAGGAAGACAGGAATCCGTAGCATATAATCGACTTCAGTTCACATTTCCCCTCTCCATCATCCCAGAATTGAGTCTCATTAAACCTGAACCATGTTCGTGTTTTATCACCAAATCCTTACTATTGCTTCTCCCCTGTTGCTGTCCCCACCGGTGCTCGCTTTTCCTGATGATAGCTCATGATACTGCTGTGCATTATTCAGCTTCTTCCTTCAACTTCACATCCCCTTTCGGCACGTATCGCCCCCTCACCATATTAAAATCGGCGGGGTCCGGGCAGTGTAGCGGGCGAGTCCGGCTTGTATCTCGTGTGTGAACGCCACAGCGCCAGCCAGAGCAAAACCCGGCAGCTGAGCTGGAGAGCATCGATTCTGTGTTGCAATGCGGGCTCCGTAGCTGCAACAGTTCTGTGGATTTCGCTCCGCACCGATTTCAGCTCAGGCTCAGGATGCATTAATTCGCGGCAGTTGGAGTATATAGACTCTTACTATTGCGCCCTGGGGAAAACGGGTTGTCTGGGACTGCATATCCTTTTGCAGTACTGTCAAACTGTGTCCTTGCCCCGACAATCTCTTGTGTGAGATCTCTATTTTTCATCCCGAAATCTCATTTTAACTATACTTATTATCCTTCCATAATACCTCCCCCCTCAGACACCGCTCTTACTAATTTTAAAAGGTGTGAATATGATAAAAAATCATTTGCCGGTGGATAGTGTTACGTCAGTGCAGAGGAGTGTGTTGCTGTGAAGCGGAATGACTGTCGCTCTTTGTTTTAAACCACACAGCATGGTTAACCTGCACATTTCGCGATTCTAAATTGAAATGTTGCTGGCCTATGGCCACCTGGAGCCTTTCGTATCTCGGGTGTCGTGGTGAAAATCAGTGCCACGGCAAACTAAATATAATATTCCCAGTCTGCGGAGAGGAAACAGATTTCACCAGCAGAATAAAAAAAAGCCCTAACACATTAACTCATCATCGCGGGTTTATATCGCTGCTGCGTAGGAGAACCGTACGCACCTGGTCCTCATCACCCAGGTGAAAAGGGGTCGAAGCGAAGACGAAAAAGGTCACCGCCGTGCTTCTGCCCTGCTTACGTGCACATAGAAGTGCTTTTTGCTCTTTTCCTGTAGGACATAGTGGGATATAATAATAATAATAA